TGCATGAATGCCAAAAGAAGCTTCTTAGAAATAACATTAAGAAATTAGCAGTAAATATGTCTTTAAAGTATAACTCAATGTTAATATCAGCAAAAAACTGACTATTTGTATCAAAAAAGAATATCTTAATTCCTAGAAATCATGTTTAGAATTCCTATGAAGCTATTTCAGATTCCAGCACGTTAAAGAAATATCACATTAAAGAATTATGAATTTGTTTGAAGGGAAAGTTATTCATCCGATTATGAAACTCATTATTTTCAATTTAAATCATACAAAAACAATCCAAAATTAATTTAATTATATATTAAGAAAATAAAAAAACGTATTTAAAATTAATAAAATTAAAACAAATAGGTTCCTTTTTGAACTATTTGTTACTCAATTTTTATTTTAAAAAATATATATATGTAAAGGAAATATTTTCAAGAAATTAAATTGTACTTCAAATATTGATATACAGACCTAATTCATGTTTTGAAATTAAGAAGAAAAAAAATTATTTTCGAATATCCATTTAGTAATTAGAGACCGTAAGCTGAACTAAATCAAAAGTATGTCTCGTTTCCCACTTTAACTTCCGAAATGTTTGACAAACTTTGAAGTAAGTTCATTTCGGAAGATTAAATCTTCAATGAAATTCCTATTTGCCAAGGATAATCACTTTAGTAATTTTTCAAAGAGACGCAATGATGAAGTTTTGGAAGCATAGTTTTAGCTCTTTGATGGAGAAGGAATTTTTTCATTTAGAGAAAGAGTTTCACCATCCATTTTACGGTAAAGGGATTTCATTTAGGATACAACAAATTATCCTATTTTAAGTATTAAGAGTAATTTTGGATTAACAATATTTTTTATTATGGTTTGGTATCTCTGGGCTTTCTTAATTAAATTTTAATGAAAAAATTTTTTTAAAATTATAATGTAGTTTAACTAGGGAATATTAATTCTTATTTTATTACGGAAGACGTAAGTTACGTAGTTAGCTCTTTGATGGAAAAGGAAATTTTTCATTTGGAGAAAGAGTTTCACCACTCTTTTTCCTATAAAGGGATTTCATTTGGGATGCAATAAATTATCCTATTTAAAATAGAAAGAGTAATTTAGGATTAGCAATACTTTTCAATGTTATTTTGGATATCTGTTCTTTTTGTGAAATTTTCAATTTAAAATTTTCAATAAAAATTTATAATGTACAACTTGGGAACATTAATGCATATTTTATTAATATCATATGGATCTCAGATTTGTTATCAAACGAGCAATAAATAATACTTAAAAAGAATTCACAATTAAATTCAAATTTGGAATGACAACAATTTTAATAAAAAGTTTAAAGTTTTCTGATTTGTTATCAACTCTTATGTGAACATTAAAAAAATCGCTATGCAACTTAATATGGGAGTATCGAAATCTTAAAAAATTATCTGAAATATATGATTTCTTTTCAGTCGTTACACGAATAATATTTGGTAAGAGTTAAAAAAGAAACGTGATTTTTACTATTTTATTATTATTTAGAATGTCTTATTTAAGTCTATAACTTTTCCAAGAAATATTTAAGAGCAGCTTTTTTTTTTTTTTTAAAATAGGGAAATCAGGCAAAGTTTGATACTGGAAATTGCAGATTTTCATGAAATTTTCAAGATATGTTACGTAAAACTATTACACAACTGTTTTTTTTTTCTTTTATAGTTGAGAATAAAAAATTCTTAATGTTTTGGGTCATCAAAACTAGAAATCATCTGGAATTTATTGAAAATCACGTCTATTTACATGAGGTAACACTTTTTGAGAAATGAGTGAACCACGGTAGTGAGCATTATACAAACAGTAATGAACATTACTGTTCGTATGTACAAAATGTTCAGTACTGTATGAACATTACTGTACAGTAATGAACATACAGTACTGAACATTACTATAAAAAAAAATTTGAGGTGGAGGAGGACAAAACAGGCGAAACATACTCGTTGCTATCTAGTCAAGTGTAAAAAGGCAAAGGGAAATGCAAAGCAAGGCAAAAGTACATATTACCAATATAAAGTTTCACGCCGAATACAGTGAAATAAAACCGAACAAATCCGAAACCGAAATGAATCTAGCAGTTAAGAAGTTATTGGGATCGAAATTTGAAGTTAGAAGGGCATTGTTGAACATTTATAAAATGGATTGGCTGTTCAACGTCAGTTGTAGAATAACATTAAATATCATTTTAAATCATTTGATTTTCTATTGTTCACTCAAAGAATAATATTAAAAATTTACAATATAGCTTAACCGGAGAATATCAAAATTTTTTGACATCAGACGACTGTGGGGAAAGGATCTTTTGGCAATGTCAACCTTTATTTATCAAAGGGTACCCCTTTTACTTACTTTACTTACAAAAATTGGGCACCTGGGCCGCGTAGCAGCCCATATCCCATACATCTAGAAATTTACAAAATATTTATAGTAATAACATTTTGAATTTAGCAGTCGATGTGGTAGCTAATACAAAAACAAACACTTTGCTTGAGTAAATATAACATTTTGAATATCTGATTCATCGAATCTAAGTTGACATAGATAAATATAATCATAATTTGACAATATATATACAAAATTTGACGTAAATAAATATTAACATAAATTGATACTCATTTCACTAATTTAATTTCTATATTTAAACTGGCACATGTTTAATTATGACATATATTGAAAGTCTAAAATTTAGAGTTCAATGTTGATATGAAAAGTATAAGTCCTGAATTGGAAATAAAAACATCACTGAACAAGAGAGGTCTCTAGTTCATTTTTGACAACATTTTTGAAATAATCAAACTGAAATGGTCAAATCAAAACTTTACCTTCTTTTGCCACGTCCAGACATAATTGCAAGAAAATGAAGTAGGTACGACCTACTCGAAAGACACTAGTAAAATGGTGTACCAAATTAAAAGGTACCCCAAGGCATGCCTTATATACTAGTGAATTGATGTTTAATAATCGTAGCCCCACCAGAATTTTATCCGTGATAGAATTCGGGGAACGGATACCACTAGTTGCTGTATTTCCGGAAGAACGAGAATGCTGTATAACTTCACCGGATTTTGAGCTCTCAACAGTACTCCCCCACCAGAATTTTATCTGCGATATAATTGGAGGAACGGATACCACTAGTTGCTGTATTTCCGAAAGACCGAGAAAGCTGTGTTAACTTCACCAGATTTTAAGCGCTTGTGGTGAGAGTTGTATTAAGTTCACCATGTTTTGAGCACTTGCTATGAGGACTGTATGAAGTTCACAGTTGTGTCTGTATAGTCTCTTCTGTGTTGCTATTAGCTGTCGAGTGTGTGCAGGATCCACTTGTGTGTAAATGAGACTAAGAAGCAGCAGCACGAGGAGGACGACGACGCAGTCGCCAATAGCAACTTAACTGTTCAATATAGACTATCCATCGAAGTGGGCGTTACTTTAGATGTAGGTGAATTAATATCACGTCCGGGTCACCAATGTGGGGAAAGGATCTTTTGACAATGTCAACCTTAATCTATCAAACGGTACCCCAAGATTAAATCAAGTTAGCGCGTCTTACATAATGGTGAATTGATTTTTAATAATCGCATTGGTAGTTACGCCGCAGGACTAACTAATTTTTTGTTGAATCTTGAATGAATGATATGTAAAAATAAGGTGTTTCAATGTAATGTAATTTAAGAATAGCAATGAATTTTAATATAATTTCAGATATCTGATTTGCTATTAATCGTTCAATTAAAATGAGTTCATAATGCAACGCGATTTAGAGAATGGATATACTTTTTAACATTGCATCGGTATCCTGATTAACAGTTCAAGGTTACGATTTATAAATAGTTGCAAATGTAGCATAACTTGTACTATTAATACTTTTGGACAGCTTTTGATCCACCTGTTTGTTATTTACTATTTACTGAATAACATTTAGAACGAATTAAAAGAGCAGAGTAATTAAAGAGAACAGTGCTGTTTTATACCATTTGGGCTATTTATTTTATTTTTAACAGTTCAATGATATATTTAATAACAATTTGCTCTTCATTGTCCAAAATGTCAGAAAACTATTTGATAAAATGCTATATTCATAAAAAGCAATAAAATTTAAAGTTATCTTTCATGATAAATAAGTTAAAAGCTTTAATACCCAGCTTATTATGTAGGGAAATTAAAACTCATAGCTCATGAAAATCAACACAATGAGTATTTTGCAAATGCAATTTAATACGTATTAAAATAGTGAACAAAAAAATTATGTTATTAAATAAACAAAAACAACGAAACAACGATTAAATGCACTTATTCAATAATCTACAACAGTTTTAAATATTGATTTCCTTAACACTTACTGGATGAATCTAATGTATTTTTTTGTAGAAAATATACTCTATAGAATTCTTATCTAATTCTTTCTATGGAATCTTTATTACGGATACGCGATGTGTACATGGCTAAAGTCAATAATTTAGCGCAGGCTTAAAATTTGATTTTCTTTACCTGTATGTAATGAATATAACACATTTTTCGTAAAAAAATATTATATATATGTTACCTATATATTTTTTTTTACTTCTGATACACGATGTCTTAAATTTCGTAAAAAAATGCTGATAGATATTGCCTTTTTTTTGAAAAGAATTTTTTAAAATGTTATTTGACTTTCTACTGTAAAAGATTTCGTTCGATATAAGTCCAGATTTCAAAGCAATCTCAAAAATAATCGATATCTCTCACAATTTTCTTCAAACGGAATTCCTTAAAGAGAAATCAATTGTAACCACAGATTCGATAATCCATCAAGTTACAAGTATTGTCTGAATAATAATTAAATTCCCCTCGCAAAATGAACAAGGTATTTTGAGGCAAGATATCGCCTGATTTGGCATCCTATCACTCTTTCTTGGCGAAAAAAGATATTCTTGATCTAGTCTTGGCAACCCCATCTTCTCGGGTAGCAATAAAATCTTTTCTCCGCTTTCTGCCGAAGTTGATATCGTCGCTGCCAGATATAAAAGCTTTGCTCCTCAAAATGCACTAAATTTGCTCTCTCGAAAAGTTTTGCTTTTTCTCCTTTGCAAATTAGGATTAGGAAATATTGGTGAAATTTGCATGATAATGAAGGATTTTTCTTGAATCAAAAATAATGGATTTTTCTGAAAACCCCCTCTTGACCTCTCAAATTGCCCCCACTGAGGGGTCGTTTGATTTGCGTCAATCTCCGAAAGTTGAAGCAAGACGGGTAGAAGAATTAAATCTACACGGTAAATAAAAATTATTTTCTATTTAATAATTTAAATTTCTTACAATATTTTATTTATATAATATTAAAATTTATATTATATAATATTAAAATTTATATTATATAATATTAAAATATATTTTTTCAAAGTTTTAATATTTTATAAGTGTTATTTACTTCTACTGAACTTATTCTCATTCATTACTTTTTCAGACATTTTATCTGTGCATAGAAAAATAATTTCTGTATAAAATTATAAAAAATACATTTTTTTCCTTCTTACATATTTATCATACTCAGAATGCTTTTATTTATATATAAAAGCTTACTTATTATTGGAGATTTATTTTAACTATTCAATTAAAATTCTCCAGATTGATTAAACTACTGTTTATTGTAATTATTTTTGTTAAGTGTTTTTTACATGATCTCTTCACATTAATTAAGTTTTCCTATTGATCAATTACTGTATATGCAATTTATAATATATATAGATATATATTACATATTATATGGACAGTAAAGCATTGATCTATAAGAAATGTATATATATTATATTTAAAAAAATGTATGTATTAAAAAAACTGTTTTTACTGTAATACAGGTTTTGTGTAAATTTTATGCAATTTTAAATGTGTTTTTAAATTAATAAACTTAAAATACAAAACGTTTTAAAAGCCTATTTCAATCTACTCTGAAGTCAGAAATTAAATAAAAATATTTTTCAATAAATCACAAAAACAAATTAAATATCAAAGTAATAATTAACTTCATTACAAATGAGAAATTTTTTTTAAAACTAAGCAATATTAGAGAAGTAAGAGGAACTTTTGATTGTTTGTAAATTAAAGTACAACTCAGAATGTATGCAAACTTTTGGTCAAGTATAGAAAAAGGCATAGTTAAATGGCATTTTTAAATGGCAAATGCTATGGAAATGGCATACTTAAATGTCAAGCAAAAAAATTTTCTAAAATAAAAAGCACCAATCTTCGAACTATTGCTTATTTTACAATAAATATTTTTTTCTTCTTTTATAAATTCAACAGTTTTATAAATTCAAATGTATATTTTATACACATAAACATATAAAGATCATAAATGTATATTTTACTAATTTAAAATAAATAAAAATTACAAAATAATAATTGCTACAGCAGTTTTTTTTTTAAAATTGAATTTCTGAGTTCTAAATTTTTATTTTTTATAATAAAGAGTACCAATCTATAAACTATTTTATAATAAATGTTTTTTACTTCTTTTATTTAATCATCAATAGAGACGTGCATATTTTAGACATATAGGTGTACAGACCATAAAGATATATTTCCTCATTTCAAAATAAATAACAATTGAAAAGCATTAATTTTATTATTATTTGATTAAAATATATTCTAATAGATACTTTTCACTACTAAAAATATGCTTAATTCATGAAATAAGCATAAAAAACACTAAGGATATGAAAATACATTAAAACGTTAAATAAAAATATGTAAATTAGAAAAAGAGTAATTAATGAATTAAAATTTTAAATTGTTGAACTAGACTACTGAAAATTATTTTACTTTAAATTAATGCTGTTGTTTTTGCCTTTCTTCGTCGATTAATAGTAGCTAAATGATTCAGATAGTTTTTATTTCTAATGCCTACCCGATTGACACTCGTCTTTCATGTATCTGTAGGGCAGATTTGGGGGGGGGTTGCTCCCACAGTAAGGACAGATAGCACAGAGAATGAAAGAACATCCATGCCTTGTCCGAGATTCGAACCCAGGACCTTTCTGATGTATGGTTATTCAGATACTTTTTTTTAAATTAAATAATACAATGTGGGCGAAACAAAACATTGAAACAGTTATTTGTTAATGTAGCCAAATTTTATTATTTTTATTATTTTTTTTATTTTACATGCAAGTTGCGACACAATTAAGGACAAATGGTTTATTTTAAAAATTATAACTAATCAAAAATAAGATGATTAAGCATTACAATAGAAATTCAAAAATTCAAAATAATACACTCATTTAATTATTTATCTTAAAATTAGCAAAACTATTTGACAACAATTGATTAAAATCATTCTTTTACGTTCTATATATATTACGTAATATGTTACTGAAACATAAGATGTTACATAAGAGTTAGTAAAGTTTTCGTGTGAGAAAAATAAACTAGAAAAACTTACTCAGCAGTTATAAACATAGATTTCAAAATCGAATTTCGCAAATCCCCGTAATTTTTTTACAAAATGAACATTTTTTAAATTATTTATAAGGATATTATAAATTAAATTTCTAATTATAATATTTATAACTACTGATGGATAATATGCTAATACTAATTACGAGATAAATATTTAGGATGCTTAAATAAATTTCAAATTGCTTCTCTTGATATATGTCTTGTCCTGAAATTATTTCTAAATAAAGGAAACTTAATGTCAAAAAATGAACAGTTTTTCTAATTTTTATATCATTAATCAAAGTCGAGTATGGGTATTAATTGAGAATTGTAATATTTGAAAAGTGTCAGAAATGATGAATTGGACCCTCATTACATACGAAAAGTAAACTGATAAATAGTTTGTGACATTTGAAAAAGAAGTTTGTGACATTTGAAATTTAAACTGGTATTCTATCTGAATGATAATTTCATTGTGGAAGAAATATAATTTTTTGTCTTCCTTCCAACTGTTCTGTTACAAATAATTTATTATCAGGCTAGCTGTGAAAAAAGTCATTAGTAATTAATTTTCAAACATCATTTCGCTTAAAAAAGATATATAGCATTGTGAGTTACATTGTTAGAATTTTCATACTGAAATTACTGTAAATTAACCGGCAATCAGTCTGTCCATCAATTTAGCGGTAAAGTTTACGATAAAAACATTCTTTTTTTACCTTTACTGTAAGAAAGAAACTTAACTGGACATTGGAGCTAGACTTTTCGTTAGGTAATGAACATTGGAGTCAGGTTGTGGTTGAGTTGTGCTTTATCAAATGAACCGTGAAATGTGGTCTAATTAGTTTATCTAGGTGTTTCAACTTTCGATAGAGTAGAAAAATACTAGACTTTTCGTGTGTTAAGCATTTATGGTGCCTCCTTTTCTGCTTGAATAAGAGTATCGTAATCTAACAATGCAGGGTCATAAATTGTGGAGTGCAGGACACTAGAAACTTTTTATGTGTAGAAGGTAAAGGAGGAAATATTGTGGTGTCAAGGCTAGGATTCAAACCCTCGGTCATGAGATTGACAGATTAACTATCTCGGCTATAATATGTACTTAGCTGCAAGTGACTAAGTATAACTTCACTAGGTGAGCATAGTTACTGCAATAAAATTCTGGTTATTAAATTGTGTTACGTGAATATAGTGGATAAACGATTTTTCTCACTTTCATCTGTTTCAATACCACTTTATTTACGGTTATTTGACTGTTTTGTTGGAGTATGGTAAAGAAACAATCAAATAAATTGTTATCAAGCAATTTTCCCAAGAAATTTCTACTACTAAATGTAAATACATTTAATAAATTTTCATCGGTTTGATTTATTGTTTAAGCTACAATTTATTGTTTGAGATGTTTAAGTTTCTTGACGTTTATAAACATTTTTAGATAGACATGTACGACAGAAAATATTTCAATTGCTAATGCATTAAATAACAAATACACGGGGCGATGCTTTCAGAATTATCGCTGAAAGTTCAGTAAAAAGAGTTTGAACATTAAGTCTCACAATTGATTACTTAAATGAAAAATCAAAAGCGAATCCCAATTCTGACAAATCATCACTGAAAAAGGCTGAAAAAACAGTTTAATTGCCTTACAAAACTGATATGAGCTTAAAATTGATGATTAGAAACACTTCCGATTTTTGTCAGACCACCAATTTGGTTTCTGTTTTTAATCCCTTCTTCCTCACTAACGGTTGTAAAGCTTGTAACAAAGATTTTGTTTTCCTTTTCTCTCGTGGCCTCTGATGCGCCTACTATTTTTTATTTAGTTTTGCCCAAATTTGTAATAATCTGTAATAAATTCGAATATTATAGAATACACTGCATAATCAACATAAAAGTTTTTTTCCTCCTAAATAGGTAAATTTACTTTTAACAGTTTATATTAAAAATATACGTAGAATTCCTTCAAATTCAAAGTATTTAATTTCACACAACCGCAGTTTTAAATTCAACAAATTAACCTAAATTTTCCCTGTACATTTTTAGAAAGCAAAGCCAAATTTATTTGAAAATATTGTAAGAAAAACTTGCCAAATACGAGTGCAAGTTACTCCTAAATCCTTGCAGTTACAACAAGTTTGAGGTTACATATTGTTTAAAAACACTTCTTAAACACTTTGCCCTTTTAATATGTTTTCAAAAAAGACATCTGCTTTCTGAGCAAGGGAACTGTGAGGTCAGAGATTACTTATGAACAATCAAATGGTTGATAATATTACTTATTTGTCAGACTAAATATGGTTAGTTTTCTTACTTTTGTGCTTTGCTTCATTTATATTAGTTGGTTTTAATTGCTTTTATGCAATACTAACCAGGGTCGATTTCATTATTATTAATGCGACTAAAAATGAGAATTTTTTTCTCACTATGGACTGTTAGAAATTTCGCGAAAAAAATGGTTTAATAATATTTTAATTGTTCGAACAAAACAATCAAATAACCTTTAATAAGATAGTATTCAAATTGCTAACTGTTAAAGAACTGTTTATTAACTGCTTTCATCTAGCAAGGTTAAGCAATCAAATTTTTATCGCACCAACTTCGAGTCCCACCGTTGACACCACGAAAATCCATTTCCTTCAGCACATGAAGAGTTTCCAGTGTCCTGCACTCCCCAATTTGTGACCTTGGACTATTAGAATACGATACTCTCATTCACACATAGATTGCATCCCCATTCAGCTACTGAACACAAAAAAGTTTAGTAATTCCCATTTCTTACGATAGGTTAAAGAGCCAGATAAACTTAATAAACCTCATTTATAAATATTCATTGAAAAAA